CAGGGGTTCGGCCATTTTTAAAACGTGAATGCCCCACAAAAGTTTGTGCACGACCCATTGCGGACTCCCCAAATGCTTGCTTTAGGATTTCATAGGTTTCCGTAGCCGTTTTGGCGAGTCTTTGTCAAAATTTGATTTGTTCATGAAAATCCGCCATTCCGAAATCGCAGGAGGGTCGGTGTAATGCACTACCAAAACGCCCGTAACTAAGAAACAAATGCTAATTCGATGATGCCGGCTGGCACACTGATTCACTATGAATGTAGGCCGCACCCACCAACGGCAGAAGCTCGTACTACATCCGGTTCGCCCTCTACTGACACAGTCTGGAAACTTTCTGATCGCACCTCGTATTTTATGCATATTACTATATTTGAATTGTCAGTAGGAAAACTCTTCTCCTGTGGTCTCACTAAAGTGAATAGGAAACATCAGCCAGTTGTAATGCATTCCAGAAGAAATCAATCTTTACAAATTTTGAAATAACCAATAATAATGAATATCTCTGTGGTTTCAGCACAAACTGTCTTTTATATAACGGTTTTCTAGCAAGATACAAAACACGAATAAAACGGCAGAACTCACTGCTTCTTGAAGCTCTTCAAGATTGGGTATATATTATCAAAAGCTTCATAAATTTCTTGTCTTACTTTGGCTCCTGAAATTGAAATGTAAAACGTTAATATGTATGCATAAAAATGCCAACTTACAAAGAAAAATTACATGTGAATAAGCTGATTCTAGCAGTGCATTGCATTTACACATTACTTATATTCAAAATGCAACTAAAACCTTTATGTATTACAGACCTGAGCAAAGTATTTCATAGCCCCCCTGGTTGCATAAGATAAAGTATCATCAACTCTGATGTCACATTTTACTAATGACTATTTACAAAGCATCAGTAACAGCAAAGGCCCTTGATACACTCTATTTCAGCATTTACCTTCGCACACTCGAGCACAACAGTTCTTGCAATCCGTGTGAACGTAAAATGGCAGACACAAATTATAAGATTAAATACACAAACACATACACAATATCTGTAAATGCAGAATCCAAAACACTCTACACAGTATCAATCAAACTGAATTCAAGAACAACTTTACAAATATGCATCCGTCACAAAAACTAAAATTATTCACAGAACGCGATGTAAAAATATCCTTCAGAACCAAATCTTTGGGAGTCTGAAACGAATGACAACAGATCTTTACAGAAAAGTAAGTGAAAGTGCCTTGATTGTGAACGGGACAAAAAGGTTGCACTTTTTATACTAGATCTGTAGTTTACGGCATGTGTCGTATTAGCACATGAGCCGGGATAGCTCAGTCAGTATAGCGACTAGCTACGGGCTGGATGACCGGGGTTCGATCCCCGATAGGGGCGGAGGATTTTTCCTCTAGCCTCTGCGTCCAGCCCGGCTCTGGGGCCAACCCAGTCTCTTCTACAGTGGGTACCGGGGTCCTTTCCCGGGGTTTAACCCGGCCGGGGCGTGATGCTGACCGTGCCGGGGTCAAGAAAGAGGGGAGCTATACCTCCACTCACCCCAAGCGCCTGTACGGCACGTAGCGGGACAAACTTTACTTTACGTTGTATTAGCACAGTAGCTAGTAGATTGCTGTTGGTTTTTGTATTATTTATGGAATAATGGTTTGGTGATCAAAATGTGGACACCTCCCAATAGTTTCATGTTTCTATCAATTGTCAGGCTTGAGTACTCGGGAATTTGGATTTGCCTGGAGCTGGCAGTGTGTTGTAGATGGTGGACGCGTATTTGTGCACAGGCACTTTGACTCTGGTTAACAAAACAACGTATGCTGTAGCTGAGTTACAAGGCCATTCACTACTAAGGGCTGCATCTGGTGATGACAATGTAAGGCAAAAACACGAATATAATTACAATAAAATGAAGGCTCTGTTGACGGTAATATTTCCTATATTTCGTCGACTGTTATGTACCGATTAACTCGAAGTAAAACTGCAAGGCTGTGCAGGATATAATTATTGTGAATAGACAAATAATAAAATAATTATGCAACATACCTGTTAGCACAACTTTTCCTGATACAAATATCAACAACACAATTCTTGGCTTAACCATCCGATATATTAAACCGGGAAACAGTTCTGGTTCATAGCTGAAAAAAAGTAGTTGAATTTTAATTGCACTACTTGTTTCTAAATATCATGTCATAAGAAAAGGAAGCTTCAGAACATCCAAATGAGTCAATAAAATCCAATCTATGTAGATCAAAAAAGTTATGGAAGGTAGTACGCTGTTTCATCAGCGCATTTCACCGCTAAAACCCTAAAACAGATGAAACAAAAAAGAAATGAAGACTAAGAAAAACACGGATGTGGACCACGTGACTTGCTACCTCCCTAAAACTAACTTGCGTACAGAATCAGGAGGTCAACCAGCAGAGCAATCGCTTTATACCTGGTGCCATAAATTTTCTTCCTTAACTGAAATCTTGTATAATGAATATACAATAATACATGGCAGGTTTGTCACATAAAAATTAGTAGACATTTTTACATCTGCATTAAAAGGATTTTGCAATGACACCCTTGTTATGAAAAGATTCTTAGAACACATTTCTATAATAATAACAATTACCTAACACTCTTCATACAAATATATCGCAGTTGTCTGTCTTTATGGCAAAGAATTTACAAGATAAAAATATAAAAGAAAATTAATATAATCCATAAGGGCTAAATTATGGATGCCATAAAGTTTTGTGCGATGCATAAAGTTTCAAGCAGGTCAGGTGGCTCCATTCCTGTGTGTTGAATGACGCAAAAGTGCCTATTATCATAACTACTCACAGAAACAAGTCCTGTGTTCAAATTCAAGTAGACATCTTACGAACAGTGTGAATAAACAACGGATGTGTAGTAACTGTGAGTCTGTGCTTTGCTCACAACAGTACGTTGCAACAATTGTTTTGCGTTCAGCCGCATGGCTTGAAAGTACACTTTATATTTCATTACTCCAAGGAGATGAGATCAAGAATCGGCTTTTTTTTACGTATTCGCCGCTGCTTTGCTGGCAGCCATTATAAATTCAAGCCACCTGAGGTTTGAACATAGGCCCATCTGTATGGTTCATTTAACTGTGCACACAAACAACAACAATAAAGAATGCAGCATCTCTGTACCTGCTAAACTGTCCATGCGTAAGAACAAGACCTTCCAGTCGAATAGGAAACTTCACATCACAACTTCCAACCATATTCTGGATTTTGAAGTCGAGGAATTTTGCCTAGGAGAAAAAGATAACACATGTAAGTACTATGTTTTACAGTTGTGTAACCACAGGATGGAAACATTTAACAACACAAGTAATAATTGTACTTCAGTATAAATAAAGTATAAATCCTGAAAATCCAGAAAGAGCGAGGGTGTAAAAATATACTCTGGTCGAGTACACGTAGTTTCCAACTGTGTTCTCTGCTATTTTGCATACCTCACTGACTCCGTCTTTAATTCGCCGCAGACGCAAATCCTATCACACTACAGGCATAACACTTCACAGTATCAGAGATAATTTTTCATTGTACAGCGTCCTAAACGTCATTTATCATCATAGGATACCGTAAGATCTGTTCAATACATTCAAAACATGTCTGGTTATAATAATGCATGTTCTCCAATGTTGATCAGAGCAGACAGACGTCGACGCTAGCATGTACATCAATCTTTTCCGAGTACAGTCATATCTTTGAAGACATCCACAAAAAAAATAAGTCCAGCCATTGGAATGAGATCTGGAGACCAAGGTCCCCGTTCCCCTGGTTCTCTTCTCTCGGTCTAGTGTTTGATAGGTTGTGGGGCACCGTACCTCTCTTCCTGTTATGCGGATTTCATGCACAAACTCATTACCCAACATGTTCAGGTAATATTCTAGAGCAACTGTTTATTAAAAGAGGAATGAGCCCCAAAGGCTTCCTCCAACACTGCAGCGCATATGCCCTCAGAAGTATTTGGTCTACAACTTCTGGGTCATCTCTAACACTGAATTTCTCTTTGAACTTCTACAACAGATGAATGCATCACTTACACAGGAGGATGATTTACTGAATGTATCAGAACGTCTTCACCATCCAAATCACAAAACATACGACACAGCACAACCATGCAATAGTTATCAACATGGACTAAGGTATGTAACTTTTTGGACATTCATTACTTCATTAAATATTAACCACATTTAATAAATTCCAAATAAAATTTATAGATATTAATAAAGTTCATATTTTATTGCCAGGTATCAGTATTTTGTCCCGTGAGCTGTTTGCGAGAAACTCATAAATGTTCAATTTGTAGTTATTATAAAGCAGCGGTTATAATGCAAGAACACAAAGTAAAATAAATTCTGACCAACAACTTTCAGTGTAGACCACCAATACTAAAGTCGATAAAAACTGAATTAGTAAAACTGGAGATCAGAAAAGCAGATGGACAGATCTGAGCTCCCCATCACTCACTCATTTTATACATTTGTGCAAATAACACATAATAAAAACTCCAACAAACCCAATTCAGGATTTGGCATCCACTCTATCTCAAAAACAGCCTTAACGCAAGACTACCAAAATATAAGCATACTATAACCATTTCATAATCTGATGCCAAATATCATATCTAGCATAAATATCTACTTCTGTATAACACATATTTTGTGACTGTAAGGTACACCAGGCGACTTGCAGTGGTTCAGAACCGACGTTAATCTTTATCATACGGAGATTTCAAAGCATGCATTATAGGGCTGCTGGCCACATTTTAACTCTGAGGGAGTTTAATGATACTAATGCAATACACAACCTGCTCAACTGCACACATAAGCAATGATGCACAGCCAATTAAGGTCAACCTGTAGGTCTTCCTTGCTGACCACACCTTCATTATTACCCTAACCCACCCAATGGCTGCTCCCATTTAAAGTCTGGATGGCCAAAGAATACATGGGACCTTAAGCCACAACATATACACTTCAACGTAACACATTTTCAAGTCCATAATAATATATTTAAGAAAAACTGCATCTGGGTAATTACATTTGTATATTAATCTTCTATCTAAAGTTCAATTCTAACTAACCGGAAACCCAAGTTTCTGAATAATTCGAGCGTATTTCCTTGCGGCAAGTCGCGAATCTTCTTCACTTTTAGCCCCTGTGCACACCATTTTCCCGGAACTGAATATGAGTGCCGTGGTCCGAGGTTCACGTATCCTCATGATGACAGCAGCGAAACGTTTGGGATTGTATTCGGCATTACGAGCATGAAGAGCAATCTTTTTCAGATCCAGTTTACAGCCCAAGTTAACAGTTGAAACGATGTTCCTAAAACAAACATATTGCATCTGCCAACAGTCAGTTCTATTATAACACACTGTCATCATTTAATTTGGATATAATGCAATGGAAGTATGGAACACTTTTCCTAATGTGAATATGTTTCTGATATAAATGAGCACATCACAACTCGGTACAAAGCACTCTTCAGACATGGTGTAGCAAAAAGCACTTAAGCAATTTATTTATATTAAATAAAGTATGTTTATAATATAATTTCTTTATAGCACAGGATTTTCAAAACTGCAACTATTGTGTTACAGCAGAAATAAATATTCTATATAAAAGCTGGGACTAAGGATTGCACCTCTGAAAGAAATATTTGCTATGCAATGCTTTACATGGTAACACTCCCACTCAACATGGGTGACGTGCATGGCACTGAAATGTAAAATCTGTGCCACTGTTATTGTCGTTGTTCGTGGAGAACATTGCAGAGTCTTTACCAAGTCAGACTCTGTTTCATCCATGAAGAGTGCCCAAGAGAATATCTTTGCTTTCAACAAAATTAACGAGTCCCGACACCATTAGTAGTACAGATCTGTTTCTTTATGATGGACCTTCGCCAGTGCAAGAGGTGAACAAAATGTCCATACACACACACACAAAATGTATCTTTCTTCATTCTCATTAAATTCATTTTTTGAATTAAATGACCAGGCATCTATGGCTGATACAGCTTAAGAATAATGTCTTACAATTAATTTTCATTCTTAAGTACAAAAAGAATAAAAAAAACTTAAAGCAGATGAAATATGGTACTAGGTCTGAAGCTTTTTATAAAGAATCAGACTTTTTTTCTTCTTCAAATTTATAGTTTAGGAGTAAATATGAATCTCCAGCAGAAGAAAACTCTGCAGTATTAATCTTTCAGAAGTGTGACAGGGTTAGTTACTTTCCTTCCTGAAAACTGCCCTGAGTTTGATATTTGATTCCACACTTTCACTAAACATATTGCATCTGCCAACAGTCAGTTCTATTATAACACACTGTCATCATTTAATTTGGATATAATGCAATGGAAGTATGGAACACTTTTCCTAATGTGAATATGTTTCTGATATAAATGAGCACATCACAACTCGGTACAAAGCACTCTTCAGACATGGTGTAGCAAAAAGCACTTAAGCAATTTATTTATATTAAATAAAGTATGTTTATAATATAATTTCTTTATAGCACAGGATTTTCAAAACTGCAACTATTGTGTTACAGCAGAAATAAATATTCTATATAAAAGCTGGGACTAAGGATTGCACCTCTGAAAGAAATATTTGCTATGTATGTATCAACAATAAGATACTGTACAGCCTGTAACAACAATCTGCAACCAACCAGCATATTAGGAAAGATTCCCACTCAACATGGGTGACGTGCACAGCACTGAAATGTAAAATCTGTGCCACTGTTATTGTGGTTGTTTTTGTGTGTAAAATAAGAACAATTTTCGAAATAATATGCATAAACAGCAATTCCAATCTCTGTAGGTTGATTGTTTCACATCATCCACTGGATAGCTATGTACTTCGTTTCTATTATGTTGCGCACATCATCCACTGGATAGCTATGTACTTAGTTTCTATTATAACATACAACTACAACTGAATTTTGGCCACTAGATTAGATACGTTAATATTGTCCTTCCATCACGCAACAGGAAATGTACCCCTGACATGTTTCAAATTTGACCCAGAATTCTGATCATAGCATGTCAATACACAATGTTACTCATTCCATATTAGGCATTTTTATTGAGGTACTCTCCTCCTTCATGTGCACAATCATCACATCCCATAGAATTACTTGGAAAATGACTCTAACTCCCTGCTAGCAGAACCCACAGGTTCAACGTCGACAACATAACAGCCCACTACCGGCCACAATCTTGAGCCAACGCCATCCATTTCTCATCCTCACAGCCCACCTCCCTAAGGTCAATCTTAATGTTATCCTCCCATCTCCTCCTTCCTGATCCACATAATTATTTACAATACAAAATAAAAATATCAGGTCAAATTTGAACTGCTCCTATAGTTTATTTATAATTTAACAATGCTTTTCCAGTAGCTCAGACCATTTAGCATCGAAGGAGAGGATGACGGTAAATAATAAATTTGGAAAGGATGTGGTAAGATGTGGTCATCACCTAGTTTAAGAAACTATCCCAGACTTTGCCAGGAGGGACTGAGAAAAACCAAGGAACCCCCCACCAGCAGGGTAGCCAGTCCCCTGTAGTTACATGCATTGCAACTCTATACAGCAAGTGGGCATGACCTACATGACACGA